TTAAGCCTTTTAATCTTCGCTCGCCAGCGCGCGCGTCTGTTATTTACGGTCCCATTAGCCCGCCGGATCGGCTGCACGCCGAGAATTTCATGAGATTTTCGGCCGGCAGGATCGATATCCCCATGGAAATTACCGGACGGGCGGCGCGTTGCGAGTTACACCGTCGAATCGCTTGATAATTGGATGAGAAACTTCATTCGTCGAAAATTCGGCTTACTTTTTGCTTGCAGGCTGTTTATGTGATGTAATTGACACTGGAACCAGAATATTAAATATTTTAATGAATCTTAAAGAAATTAGCCTAAAATTATTCGATCTTTCACAGATCCAAATTTTGTGCTAAAAGGGAAATAAAAGATCGAAGAAATGTAGCATTTCTAATTTCTAGGAATATTCACGTGTGGCATTCAACGTGTTAATCTCTTTAACACTTTGACTGCCGCGTCACCCAAATTTCGGTGACACTATTTTTTAGTGATTTTCACCTATCTAGTAGTTCTAGTGTGAAGATTCCAATGGATTTAAATTTCAGGTTAGATATTACTCAACACTAGAACTACCGAGCACGATTATATGCAATATACGATTGATATGCAATTCCTATAAAAATTGTAACAATAGATTATTCTCAGTTTCTTCAGATATTCATTATAGTACTGTAAAGTGAAACTATTTATTTTCAAAATCATTTGGAATATTCAATGTTTCGAAGATATTAATAATTGCGAAACAAACAAATCGAAACCTGTCATTTTGTACATTGATCCATTATACAAAGTTTAATATTAAATATCAAAGTTTACAGTTTTGCTGTGCCAAATCATTTGGTGATTTAGAGGCGCCTCTGGGGCGCAAAGGGTTAAAACATGGAGAGTGGGTTATAGTGTTTGGACATGGTAACTCTATGGAATTCGATAACTTTCAGTTAGCTAATATGTTTACACTGAATTTAATAAAACTGTCAAATGAGTCGAAATCCCTGATTTCTTCTTGCGTGTATTAGAGATAGATTTCCCTGAGAATTTATTAAAGAAATTAATTTAGCAATAGGCAGACAGAATTGTAAATCAGCTGAAGTCTCAGTTATAGAGGAATTTAAAAAAGTCACCTGCTCGGTAGTTTTCATGTCAATTTTTATTCATTGAATCATTGCAATGGTTGGAATATCCAGCTCAATGCGATCATTTCAGAATATTCATTCCACGCGCCATCTTTGTCGGCTGAGAAACAGTTTTTCATTGTGTTTTTCATCGCATGATGAATGGAAATTAACATAACGCATGCGTGGTTTAGTAATCAGCGGTTCACGTGAATGATGTGTGTTAGAATTGAATGTTATTGATCGTAATGGATCGACGCTTATATTTATTGATGGTTAATGACGCCGGTCGTCCTCAAATCGAGTTCGGATCGACTTAACCGAATTTAATTCTGAATACGTTGACCAGATTGGGCCGGCGACGTCACGAGGTTCGAACGACGCCGGCAGTCGTGACATCCTTGACTCGGAAGTGAGTCACTCGAGCGAGTTACGCCACTCGCGACACCTAATCGTCCTTCTCGAGTCCAAGTTCACGGTTTCCAGCGCGTTTCCTCGAATAGTCGATCCGCGCGAGCTTGCGGCTCGAGTTGTCGCGAGGCAATTGAGAAAATTGAAGCTTTTCGTGGCTTCGCGGCAAGAATAACAATGATTCAATGTTTCTTCACCGTGTATCTTCTAAACGGAACTTTGTAACAAAGCAGTAACAATTAAAGAATCAATCAAACGTATTATTAATTCAATTGTCGGACTCGTGATGAAGACTTTAACGGTAGAACTATTGAGCACTTGATACGATTGATATGTAATCCGTACAAAAACTGTGACGATAGATTATTATCAGTGATTTTAGACATTCGTTATAGTATTCGAATGAAACTGTTTATTTTCAAGATCATTTCGAATATTGAATGCTTTTAACCCCTTGCACTCCAGAAGTTTTTCACCGGAAATTGTCATATTGTCATATAACGTAGAAATCGAGGGCAGAGATGTTAACGCAATTCCGCATTCAACAAAATTTTCAACTCAAATTAAACTTAACAATTCTTCATCTTGCATAGTAAAATAGTAAAATTCGAAATTTCGTATTACATTTTAACATTCGACATCGAAATGAAACAGTAGCTTAATTAATGCAAGAAATCCCTTTGTTGACTGGTTAACTGGTAGTTCCGGTGTTGAACTCGAACATTTTCAACGTGGAAGCCCATTCTCCTATCGTGCCGAACCGAAAAAGTTCCGGCAAGTAGTCATCAATTTTCTCTATCCGCCGGGCATCCTTTAAGTCTCCGCCGCCCACGGAAGCGTCTATGAATAATCGCGTAATGGCGCCGGTCGGCAGCCTATAAAGGTGAGTCGATTAGCGTTTCCGCGAATCCTGGTTCGCTCGATACGGTTATCTCGAAACCGAGGAACAGGTTGATCGGGTCTGTTTCCGGCCGTGCACGTGGCTGGATGATAAACTCTCCGGAAGCTACTTCGAGTAGGTAGATGCGGTTGATGGAAAAGAAATCAGCCGGAGGCAGTGCACGAGGAAAAATGATCTTTTGCTGTACGCTTTATCCGAACCATCGAGCGATCGTATTGGTAACCGTATTAACGTTAGAACTCATTTTCGGTTCACTGATATCTTCTAACTTCTTGCGCTGGAAAGTTGTACCACGTCGAGATGTTTCTGCTTCGAATTGCCAACGAAAGCTGATAAATATTGATAGTCTAGTTGCATTACATACTAGATTGCTCTGAAATGTATTACTTTATGCAAGATTATTAATAAAAAAAATTAGTGAAATAGGTAGAAACAAGATTCTTTGTGCAGGGTTTTGTCACGTCTAAATTAAATTCGAGGGCAAGAGGTTAAATATCTGGAATGATTTTAAAATAGTCTCACTCGAATGACAGAAATTTTAAAAAGTCAATTGAACTGCTCGGTAGTTTTGGCGTTGACCCTTTGCGGACGGATGTCGACGTTACAGAGAGATCGAATTTTCATAGTTGGAGCACTAAGTAACAAACAAATGATTTAGTTATCGAAACAGCAAGAGATTAGTACGTAGTTCCCTTTTTTTCATTGTTCAAGCAATCGGTACGTAATTCAGTTTCATCTGCTGAAGGTTTCGTACATACTCCAATGAACTCAGTTACATTCCAGAGAACACGTATGAAGTTTGTTTATAAGGAAACCGTTCGAGACATTTTAACCCTTTGCGGACGAAGATCGTTGAAAGTATACAAAACCTGCAGACTCTGCTAAATTAAATTCTGAATGCTTAAATCCTAGAGAATAAGGAAACTGTGTACCGATTTCTTGCTGTTCGAATAGTTGGTATTCGAAACATGGAAATTTGACCTCAGCAAAATTACGACATTCGTCGGCAAAGGGTTAATGGTATAATCAAATGACGAATACGGAGGAATCGATCGCCGAGAACCGGCGGGTCGATGATATCAGTTCCGTTCGAGGAGAATTCTCCCGGCGGCCATTCAGCCGGCCGGGAGAGGCTCGGTTGTACGACGGGGCAACGGAGCGGCCTGCCGGTCCATTCATTGGGCGGTGACGTAATCGCGAGATCGTACTATGAAGCCGTGAATCGGCGGCGCGGCGGCTGCACCGAGGGATGCGCCATGTGCAACGGCGGCCGGAGCCGCGGAATCTAATTGACATCCTTACCGCGAAACACGAGGGTCAAATATATTTGCCCGGGAGCAACCAGTCGCTGCCAGTGTCTCTCGCTCCCCTCCCCCCTGCTCGTCCAATCGTCGCGGCTAAATTGGTCGCGCGAGTCGTCTTATCTCCTGGAAATCGTTTGCATACTCTCCGCGAACCGTCATCTTTGATGGGAGGATCACTGGGAATTGGGTGAACATCGTGTTCTCACTGACTGACAGAAGTGGATCGCGGCTCTTCATGAATTTATGGCGCGAGGAAACTTCTCGGGGGAATAGCGGTTCATGGGAATTCGGGATATTAGTATTCCAGACGCATCGCGAGCCATCTTTTAACCCTTCGACGAACCTCGACGTTTCGAGGTGAAACTGCATTCAAATGAAACAAATCCTCGTTTCAACCCTTTGCAATCCGTGGGAGCTTCTCAGTCGTCGATCGATTTGACACAGCAAAATTATAAAGTTCGACATTTAACCCCTTCAACTCTGTAGGCTCCAATATTGCACCAGTTGTAATATTAAATATTTCAATGAATCAAAGGAACTACCCTAAAATTATTAGATTTCTATTATTAATTATTAGATTTCCATTGAAAGATCGAAGGTACAGCATTGTTCATTTTTACTAGAGGTACCATAAAAGTTAGTTGCAGTTGCTGATGGATTACAAAACCATCTAGAGTGCTAAGGGTTAATATTAAACTTTGTATAACGCATCGACACATTAAAATAAAACAGCGTCTTTCTTTAATTTACGTACGACTTCTCGTTATGTCAGTTTGAAAGAATATCGTTGGTATTTCGTTAAAGAATCTTGAGTATTTCTAACGAGAAACTTCTGGAGTGCAAAGGGTTAAATACCCACCACTTTCGCACAGAACGAAAACCGAACATGTCATTCCAGCAAACAAATCGAGTCACTCGATCCATCCAAATGAACCGACTCATTCACCGAGGACCCTGCCCCAGTGACGACGAGCAAACCTCGAAGAGAGATCCAGCGTTCCACGGCACTTTCTCCCCTCTCGATCGCGATCCCTCCATTGATCCGATGAATCATCGGTTCCTCGGAAGCGGCGGCGGCCTGTTACCTAGCCGCGGCTCCGATTAGGCGTCCCCCACCTGTTCAACCTTCTCCCGACCTGTGCCCGATCGGGTACCAGCTGATCACGGAGCTGCCACCACCACCGCCGCCGCCGCGAGCAACGCCGCGATCTATGACACTCGCAGCACGCGCCGGCTCCCACTGATACCGCCGCCTCTGATAACGGGTATTTGTACCGGCCGGGGATCGAGCGTGTCGCCAGTCTTGTGTCACGGCTCGCGGCGAACGCTCTCCCGCCTCGCGATCTCCGAAGAACCGATCTTCCCTCGCGGATGAGACCCGCCGCGTCGTGGACTGATCGCGATACCGCTCGTTGCTCTGAAACGTGCCCGCGTGCGTCGAGAGTTACACAGTGAAGCGTGGCTCGATGTTTCGGAGGATACACGGTGAGATTTGTGCGCTGATTGGTAGATCGGTTGGTTGATTGTGATCGTTCTTTCGCGCGGGGTCGGAATTATTGGACTGTTGGGGGTGAAGGTTGGAGGATCTTTTAGGGGTTCTGGGATCGTTTGGATTTAGGAGTTTAGATGTCTCTGGTGAGCCTTGCATTTGGATAGATTTCTGTGTTTAACCAGTTAACTGTGGAATTTAGTTGGAAAATGAGTCGAAAAATGGAGCGTAGAGTGTATTTTAACCCTTTGCACTCGAGAGGTGACTCTCAGTCACCACTCAGAGAAACATTTGTCACCTTTCTAATAATTGCAAAATTCAGACTTTATTTGACTCGAACACCTTTGAACACCTCAACTTTATTTGAACACTAAAACTACCTAGTGCTTATTATTCTGCATTTCTTCGCGAATCCTAAACAATTCACATACTCCACAATTAGAACTATCTATCTACACATCAAATACAAATCCTTCAATACTCAATACTCAGAACTCAACAACCATTCTCCAACAAACCAACTGTAGGGCTAAAATAAAAACTCAGTCCGTAGTCAGGTTAAATGTATTTATTACGTGATGTGGCTCTAACGAGGAACGGCGACTAACTGCTTTTCCTCGACTGCTTTTTCAAAGAGGAAAACTCTTCAGACGAGGGCGTAAGTGACCCAGGTCATGGTGGTCCCCTTTAGTCATAAATTTGTCAATTGGCCTGGACTGTCTCTCAGGCTCCCAAGTATTGACACGCAAAAGGCCGAACCGTCTACAAATTACACCTTAGAGCAGGCATTCGCGTAAAGACGAATTTTCTCTGATTCTCAATAAATCGCTGGTAACAAAGTAGTCGGATGGATCATAGTTCAGAGAGAAGTCACAGGGCAAGGGGTTAACCCGTAGATTTTAACCCTTAGCAACCTCTACCTGTTTCAACAATTTTGGTATGGTATCGACACCCAAAATGGCGAACCGTTTACACAAGAAACTTTATTCTAACCGCGAGGATTATTGTTTTGAAATTTTTATCTACATATAAACTCCCATCGAATCTCCGAAAACGTTCCGGCCACCGTCGTCGCACGTGATCCACGGATCCAGGCTCGTCCGCGCGAGCAGCCACGTGTTCGAAATTAACAGGCGCCGCTGCACTTCCGCGTGTGTGTCCGGCTGCATGGAAACGCGGTCCCGGGGAGAAGAGACGTGTCTGCGTAACCCGTGACGAGGAATCGCATTCCGCGCGCGCTGACGGCCACGGCGTTCCCCATACGTGACTTCCCGCCGGAAACGGACGTTTCGATTTCCATCGCGCGCGCCGAAACCGGCCGCTCCTAACGCGAGACGACCTCCTCGTTATCGGTGCCTCTTTCGACGAATATTATCGGCTGATAACGATACAGAGATAAAGGTCTCTCGGCTTCTCCTCCATCTTGGGAACGCTTCGAGGATTCTTAACCGATTCCGTGGAACCGTTGTTGGGAAATCTTCGCGGAACTTGTTTCTTGAGGTAGTTTTTCGACTTAACGTTGGAGAATGGTTCATTGAATTGAATTCTGAGGTATCTTCAATATTCTTACGGTTTATGCAATGAACTTAGGCTACTTTCGAAAGCATCGATTCAGATTATTAGTAACAATGATTGATTATGGCTGTGAGGAACGCTGGATCCTCAGACTTTGAGTGCGGAGCCTTGGAACTGAAAAGTTACCTTTAAATGGTACAATTGTGATACTACAAATAAATATAGAAAAAATTGTTAAAACAGGTAGAGGTTGCAATAAAATATGTCGAGTCTGACTCGACATGGGACTGTTAAGGGTTAAGTTTCCCGGGTCTTTGGTGGCTGAATCGTTCGTCGTGGATTTGTTTAAGTCGATCGCTGAAATTTGGAGAGGATAACCGAGTTAGTGAATTATGCAAATACGATATTCTTAGAAGTTGATGAATAAAGATTGAATTTTTTCATGGATCTCTTTGGCAAAGTGAAGTTATTCTTCTGTTTTCGATCTTGTGATTGTTGGTTTGTATAAAATCGAAAATTGTTGTAGAATTTTTAATAGAAAATGTCAATTTTAATGAGATGAAAGTACGAAGAGAAGTTACGAAGAGTGCACAGTAATGAGGAGCTAATGTCAAGGAGATTGGGAATAAGCAAACAAGAATTATATAACGATTCCATGTTTCGATTATTGTCCTCGGTATCGGAATAATAGCGTGAGTCACTGGGATTCGCTCGATATCTCAGAGCAAAGAACAGCACGGTATCTTTTTCGAAGAACTCGTAAAGACAGATTTCCTTTTTAGGGTATAATTCGAGAATTCGAGAAGTTCTTCACCGCCTCGAAGCGAGTCGTTTAAAAACGATGGAAAAATTCTTCATTACTCCCGCGTTGTTTTTCATGTGAATTCCCAATGCGTGTGCATGGTCAGAAATCCTTGGCAAGGAAAACATTTGTTGTTTGAACAGCTGATCCCTTGAGGATAGGTGTGTCGGAAAGGAAGAGTAGATAGCGGCTCTAAACGGACGTAATCCGTTGATCGGTAGATACTCGTTTCCTCTTGAACCACGTGGTGGCTATCGTGACAATGGGAATTTTAAAGAGAAAATATTTTCGACTCTGCAGCGGAAGAACGATCGATTCGAATGTGAAGCTTGTGTTCGTATTGATTACTCTTGTACGTTGGAAAATTGAAATTCGAGGACTGAACAGTTCGAAATAGAATTGACATTTGAACAGTTCGAATTTCAATGAAAAGCAACCTGGAGTGCTAAGGGTTAAAAAATCGGTTACGCACGCAAGCTAACGTTCTCCAATCGCCTTCCGACTTTAAAAAGTCCGATTTCCAATTTCCTCGAAATTCATTCGTCTCGCGAACTCAGCAGAACACGGCCGAGGAAACACGACGAGCGTCGCGGAAAGGTGCGTCGCGCCGAGAGAAGACTCTATTACCTCGAGGGATCTATGAACGTCGGCCCATAAATCATTCGACGGTGAAGGCCTCGAAGAGCGTAACAATTGATTGCCGGGCTTCTCGTCGGAGCATTTCGCGACCGTTGCAGCGTTGAATCGCGCACGATTTATGAATGAGCGTGGACAGGGGGCTGAACATGCTGCACAAGCATGGTGACAGGCCGTACGGCAGCTTGCTGCAGAGGGGCAGAGGCGCTTTCCTGAAATCCGTAAGTAATTGACCGCAAGAAATGCGTTTTCAATCGATCCAGGCTCGCAGACTGTCACTTTGCGATTCGATGAGTCTTCCGAGGGAAAATTAAAGGAATACAAAGAATATTCATTAAGTTCCGAACTCATTAAGATTTAGCTTGTAACTGAATTACTGCATAGATTCCCCTAATTCAAAATGAAAGCTAGTTGAGTGATTTTAGAACATGAGAATTAAGTAAAAATTTCTTCCTTTAACACTGAAAGTTAAAACACTGAGCGTGAGAGTGACTTCTGATTTTTTGTCTAGTTTTAGTGTTAAGATTCTTAATGAGTTCAAGACAAAATAATAGTATTCTTAAGCCGTTAGGTTTAATATTATTATTATTATTATTATTATTATGATCATGATCATGATCATTATCATTATCATCATTATTATCATTATCATCATAATCATCATCATCATCATCATCATCATCATCATCATCATCATCATCATCATCGTCATTATTATTATTATTATTATCATTATTATTCCGTTTGGAATAATTTTTATTTATCTTCGAACGTTTACGTGGTCGATTTCATCCTGTGATCGGGCAATCTCTAAGTTAGTCCACTCTTCCGTGAATTCGAACTTTGTCTCCCGTTACCTTACGGATTTTCCGTGAGTCGGGAAAATTGTCCGTCGATCGACACTAGACCAATTCGCAGTCAGTTCATCAGAAACTGTGAGTTTCCTATTTCGAAAGGAATGCAGCGAGAAGACGCTTCGTTAGCGAGGGACCACGGCGTCTTGTTATCGGGATCATAAACTGCGACGCGTTTGCTCGTTCGCGTAATTACGCATATTTTCGCGGTGACTGGTCGGACGATCGCGACGAGTGACATCATTGGGTGTTTGAGTAGGTGTCAAGGGAATTAAACACTTTGCAAATTAACGCCGCTGAATCTGCGGAGACAGATTGAACGGCTGATTGGAGGATTTCGGTTCGGAGGTGTCTCGCGTTGACTGCGCTTCCGGATTGCGAGTTTTAATGAAAGACGTTTTGAATTTTATGATATTCATCATCTTACAACAAAATCGAGGAAAGCAACGATAATCTAGTAAAATGAAACAAATAATATCTATTAACCCTTTGCACTCCAAAGTTTTTCACTAGAAATATTCAATATTCTTCCATGAGATACAGACGTTCTTTGAAACAAATTAATGAAGAAACATATATAAATTAAGGAAAGTTACTTTGTTTCAATATTCCATATATCGATGCATCATACAAAGCTTAATATTATATATAAGACTTTAATTTTGCAAATCAAATCAAGCTGACTGAGAGTCACCTCTCGAGTGCAGAGGGTTAAACCAAACTTCGACTGAACCGATCTCCTTCAAGACCTGAAATTTCTGATCGTGCTTGGTATCCTAGTAACCACAGCAACAAAATCAAAGAAACAACGTTCACCTTACTAACAGAACAAGTGAAACACTCAAAACATCAAAAACATATTCAAGTATCGCGAGAAATCGGCTAACACCAGACTAAAGCATCCACAGTCTTAATTACCCCGAACTCCAATCAAGCTCGTAAAAGCTAAAACAAACTCCGCTACCGATGCAAAACAAATCTCTCCAGAAAACAATAGTCTCCAAGAATCTCTATATCAGTTTCCGGTCGTTTATCGCCGATTGCCAACGAGCACGTCTAGGAACGATTCGAGAAAAATCCATCGAGGAAGATCGCGCAAGACAATTGTCACTCGAAGTCCATAAGATAACCGCGGACTCTAACTTCGCGTGTGGGTGAGAACCTCTGCGCGTCTAATCGCGACGTCACACGGTCTCTCTCGTCCCGTATGCGTCATCGTTTCGGTCACAAACGAGATTCGCGGTTGTAATATCTATCGAGCAATCAAAGCGGCGCGCGAGCGGGCGCATCGTCACGATCCGTTACAACCGCCGCCGCCGGTGACATCATCGCGCTAAAACAGCTCGTCGATGTCAGTCAGAGGGAAGACGCGGGGCAGCGGCCACGCGCTAGCAGCTAGCTTCGCTCGCGCGACCACGAAGAGGACTCGGCGAGGAGGCCTTTACGAGCCCTCCTCGCTGTCTGCGGGGAATCGGTGTCGCGCGGCACGCGCGTGTGTGTGCATCCGACACACGTGTGCATTGGAGAGGTCAGGTTGTGTGCCTCTTGGCCGGGATGACTAATCGTTGTTTACTGTTGTGATGACTCCTTGCTTCGCGGACCGGCGCGACCGCGATTGTCATCGGAATCGAGGAACTGGGAGAATGGGTTACTCGAGAGTTTCACGATGATTCTGTCGATGGAGTCGATCGTGGGTTATGGGGGTGGTTTTTGGAAGTGTGTTGTTGATTCAGGTGGTTGTCAGTGGGACTTTGGAGTGATGTTACGCGAGCATGAGCGAGAGATCGTGCAGTTTCTAGTTGGAGGTTCCTTTTTATTTTGTGATGGGGCAGTTATTGGGATTGAGTAGATTTGATAGTTGGGGATGATTGTTGAGGTATCCTGTGGTGTCTGCTGTGGGGAAGAGATGTGGATGTATCTCGATTTTGAGAAGTTGTGATTAGATCTGTTTCGTTGAGTATGGAGACCACTGGATGAGAATAATGAAAATATTTTGAATTTCTACGAATTTAAGTGGCGAATGTTGTTATCTTTGGGTTTCAAATTAAAAACGTCTATCCTAATTACTCCAAACCAAGGTGTCAATACAGTTCCCAAACCTTCTAAATCAACGGCAAAAATATACAAAACAAGCCCATGTCCTAGCCTGAGCACTAGGTTCACTGATTGCGTTAATTCGACGCATCTTGAGTTTTACAAATGGTAATTAAACTTTTGAAATTTAAACAGATGGACATCAGTTTTTCAAAGACCAGTAGAAACTACACAATAAACTCCCATAAACCTAGTGTTAATGTTCTCCTAAACAATCGAGTAATCCACAGTGACAGAACATCAAAGTATCTCGCGTCAGATATTTCCGACCAGTATTTAGATGTTTTCCACCATCAGACACGGTTTCTCTTTCCCGAAGCACCTTTCGCGCATTCCGCAGCTGTCGTTCCGGCAACGGTGACGCAAATCGTCGAAGCGAGTTAACAAACCGTTTCTCAGTAACTATTCGTCTCGTCGCCGCTTCCTTGGCCGCTGTGTCCGGTCAGCTTCTCAGAACCGTCGATCCTCCGCCTCTCGAAATTGTCGATAGTCCGAATAAAACGAGACACCGGCGACTTTCCTGCTTCTGCCTCGCGCTCTCCGGCCTTTCTCTTACGCAACCCGCGGGGTCGTTCAATTGATAACCGACGATTAAACGAGGAAACTGGGCTCAATTAATCAAACGACTCCACGGGCGAGTTGCCAATAATAATGATAGCGATCGAGTCGGTAAACGGTCGGTTCAAGGTGAATATACCAGGAAAAAGTTGTGGAAATAACTGTCTTTTCCTTGTCTACCACTCTGTCATTACTAAACCTGCCTTCGAGTTAGAGATACTGATATCGATGGTTCGTGTATTCTTTATCATCTGATATATTCATTAACCCCTTGCCGTACAATGACGAGTGAAACTCGCGACGGAAATTTCTAAACTAATTCAACAAAAATCAATGTTGCTTACCCACGGATCGAAGCAAACAACTATTTTGCTATTATTAACCCTTTGCACTGGAGAGGCACCTTTCAGTCGCCATTTGATTTCACCGAGCAAAATGATACAATTTAAGATTCAATGATATATTTTATATAATGTATCGACACATGGAACATCAAAATCACTTAATTTATGCAAGGTACTTCTTTGTGTTAGTTGCAAATATCATTGATATTTCATCAGAGAATGAATATCCGTCGAGAAAAATATTCTCGAAAGGGTTAACGTATCATCCTCAAATGAAATGTCCACCTCAAGTAGAACGGAAAATTTTATTGCATTACAAATTGTCATAACAAAAGGTTGTAACGAAGGTAAATACGCCACGCGGTTAACGAATCAATTCTTCCTCGTATCGAGATCTTCGAAAACACATCCACCGTTCAATTTGAATATCAGAAACCAGCAGAATATCTTTTTCCCCGTTGAATCACTGCAGAATCCTCCGCTTTCGTAAAACATTCCGCTCGGCAGCGTCGGTCGAATCGAGAGCTGAAAAAACAAGCAAAGGGACGTCAGCGATCGAAGGCCGATCAATTAAGATTCATTAGCCGCCGGCGTCCTTGCCGCGCCAATTCGTTCGGCTAATTAATTTAGGCGGACCCGTCGACCATCCCCGCTCCCCCCTCGCCGACTCGATCGAGCCGTGTTGCCAAACAACCGGCGCCGATTCGCAACGCGCCGCCTAATGAGAGTTAATCGCCGCGTACCTCGTGCCATTCTCTTACATAAGCCCCGTATGAACGCACCTTGTTGCACTGGCCGGTCGCCATGATGTCGGCGCGACGCGTCGACGGCCAATACCAAGACCGTGATTCAACCTTCTTCTTCTTCTCCCCCGTTTCTTTTCTCCGTTCTCCTTTTTCTCCCTCGCGCGAAACGATTTCGTCTCCGTCTCGATCGGACTAATTGCCCTGCCGTCTTTCCCCTTTTTTTCTCTCCTCTTCCCGTTCGCCGGGCGACCTTTCTCGGGGAAGGGATCGCCGATAAAAATATTTCCGGAATCGAATCGCGCGAAACCGACCGTGGAACGTTTGATTATTCTTAATTGGCGCCGAGGAACGTTTAGGAGCTGCCCCGAGTCGCGGCAACGGTTTTCTACGATTGCTTAATTCGTTTGACGCCTGCGACTGGCTGTTGCGTTGGTTTTCGGGATTCGAACGGTCGGCTGGACTAGTTGTGAATGAATGGTTTCGACAGTCGGACTGTGGTAATCTTTGGGACTGATTAAGAGTGGAACCCGCTAATTTGATGGATACTGAATTTAAAACAGCTGTCGCGATCTATGTAATACTTATAGGAAAAACTGTAGAAACATCCGTAATCTAGTGTTAATAA